CGAAATTCGAGACCTTTGCTCTGCTCTTGAGGTATCCTTGGTCGAAAGCAGGACCGCCTTTACCCCAAAAGGGCAAAAGCTCATCTCCGAAAGCCATTTTGTAACAGAGGAGGACCCAACAGAGGAGAACGGCAGCGAAAGCGTAAAGCGCCATAAAAGCTGAATTCACTGCCCATTTCTTCTTGACGATTGAAGCGTAGAGGATTACAAGACCAGGCATGCTCTGTAATCCGACCAGAGTCGCCGCCGTGAGCTGCCACGCGTTGTCTCCTTTGTTGAGCCAATCAGGAACTCCTGGTAAGCTCGCATTGTAAGCTCCGGCCATAGCCATATCTCTCTCCCGGAGTTGATGATCCCTGAATGACTTTTTTGGGAGATTTGTAAATGTTTATAGTCAATGGTAATGAAAGATTTTTGTAGGTGTGAAACGCTTTAATTATAATAATTGTGTGTGTGTGTGTGGAAACTAGACAAGTCACAAGTGGAGGGGTTTGGTGTTTTGTTTTTTGTACAGTTTTGATGGAGAAAAGTCTTCGGAGGAGATGGATATGTTTCTCATTCTTTTCAATTTAGAATCTTTTGTTATTTCAATGAAGCTTCTTTATTTCTTTGTCTGCTTATACAATTTTCCCCGCGTTACGAAATGTAGGGGAAAGTAAATTCGTCAACGAGATAATGGAAAAAATTGCTAGGAAAATTATAAAACAAGATAATGGAAAATTTTGAGAAACAAACAAAGTTGACTAGATGTAGACATTGATATTTTATTTATCATAAGTCAAAACCATTCTAAGATTTTTAAATGAGTTCATAGAAATTATATACCTAAGTATATATTAATATAATTTTTTTTCCCCCTAGGACATCTATATATAAAAAATGAAAAAACTTTGAGAGACTTATTTTCGAAGATAATTATTGAATCAATTTATTTTTAAAATAAATAAGTTTACGACGTTTACAATAAATGCACCATGTTTTTTTGAATTTATAAAAATACTAATTTGAAATTACATGAAACAAAGGATTTTGAAGTTTTTTATCGAGTTTGGAGACACATCTCTATCGCCTCATCAAAAGCATGGTCTCCTGCGACACAAATTGTATTAATTCGATTAATAACACTTTTGTCAATCACCTTGATTAAAGATGTTGAGGTTTGTGCGTTTTCTCTGTGACGTCGTTTATTTCGCTCTTGTCGTAAGTGGCATACCATCGAGTGGAATGCATATCGGATTAAAAACTTGGCATAAATATGTCGATTTGAGGTCGGTAGGGATACAATCTGATCCCAACCAGTTATAAATTCAAAACCAAGAAGTTTCAACATGGTTTTCTTTCAAACTTCCCCCAAAAAAATACATTCAAAGAATATGTGGTTTCGGGATTCCTAGACATTGATGCAAAGGCAATAAAAGATGAGCTACTTCAGTTACACACGATCTTGTAGTTGACTGTGTTGGAACCAATTTTTATTAAAATCAAATGGGCTTGTTATAGACATTTGAGTATGAAAAATGGGTTTAAAATATGAAGGTGAAATGAGATAAGGMTTTTGGGCTAAATGGGAAAGCCCTTATGTTGGTTTAATGAATGCACACTTAAAATGTCCCACATCTAAAGTTTGAGACATTTTGGTAGTGTATATATAAGGGTGAGCTTATGTAGAGTTCAAAACATTACAAGGACACACATGCACCATGAAGAAACCAAGGGAATCCCACACACGCGCCGAATCGAACCGAAC